AAATCTCTCCCATTCACAGTGATTGGTGCTGGTTGTTGTTCTTTTTGGTGCGTTGTTATCTTCATCACCTACCTCCGCCTTCTCTATGTTCACCTGCAGTCCTATCTTCGCTATCTGTTGGCTTCTTCTGCCAGTTCGTTGGTTTTCACCTGTAAGTCTTCGAGTTTGTGTGACACTAAACATGTATCATCCACGCGCGAAATCCAGATCTCCTAGAGTCTTCTTATCGGTGGTCCAGCGTATTTCTGTCTCCTCGCTCTCACCCACAGTTTGACGCATAACCAAGTCCACCATAATTAGGAATATCACCAGTGATAACAGCTAGACAGTCTTGTCTTACTCCTGTATTCATTTCAAACACCTCAATGAGTTTTTCATTGTGGATCACCTGACACGTAGAATTGTCATATAGCCAGCTGTTGAATGAGATTGATAAAGATTTGACCACTTCACTCCTTAATGTTGAAGCAGTTTCGAAATTATTTCTCCGTCAACTCTGTCTGTCTGAGGCCTTTTTGAAGGCGATGAAGTTAAGGTACAATTTTAACTGCCATTCTATGCTTTGTTCTGTGATGACGATGTGTAGAGTTGTAATTTGATCAGCACATGATTTACCTTTCTTGAATCCAGCTTGTTCCGGTGGGTGGCGGAGTTCTGTATCCAGTGCCTCCTTTATTCTCTCCAGGATGATGCAACATATTACTTTACTTGACGTAGACAAGATCATTATCATACGCCAGTCACTTCTTGCAGAGGTCTAAGTCGCACTTGTGATAGTTTGGCATAAACAATGGATAGTGCAAACAAACTGTTCCATTGGACTACAAGCAACTGTGAATCAACTTTGGTTTCCTTTTGCAGAATAGCTAGATAGTAAGTACTCTATACTTTTATATCGATTTTTTACGGATTTTGAAGTGGTTTGAAAAACTCGTAGCTCGTTATAAGTGTATCTCGACGGGATCTATGGGTAAAACTGGGACATTCTGGTCGTTTTTGATTTCACATTAAATTTCCTTCACAATGTAGCAGTATTATTTTCTATAGGTGTCCATAATCGTATTAGTAGTAACAACACATTTTTCTAATTTAATTTTTATAGTTCTATCGCCTGTTTCACATTCGTCGTAACTGCAGTAGTATTTTTCAGATGCCTAGGAAAGGTGCATTCTCTTCGTCCACCCCGTTATATTAGATTTGCAAACTATCACTTCATTACATCCTATTGTACGGTGGCATGTAACTGGATGTATTGACATGGCTGAGCTATATTCCAAATTTTTTATCTTATTCGGATCTACGAGTCTAGATTCCGATAGTCTTTGCTGTTCGACTAATCTTATTTACCGTGGTCTGCTAATTTGATCTGTGTATTTGATCTAACAATCTTTGTTGGTTATTAGACTTTAACAGTTGAGTACCCATCAGTCACAAAAGTAACCTGATAATATCTCTTGCGGCAAGAATCCGTAGAATCTGCAGCCCTGAATCAGTAGAAGAGATCTCTCTTTTGAAGAAGACACTACTTGAGAATGACTATCCATCATGCTTTATAGGTAAAGACATCAAGTTGAAAATCAATAAAGAACAACTCATGTCTATGCTGAAGAAGATGCTGTACATGAATGTGACATTCACAGGCGACCTTCTGGCAGACATCTTAAAGAGAAGAATATCTAATGCCCTGCAAAAACATTCTCTGCTTCTGTATAAGGAGTGATGTTCTCATGCTCTTCAACAACTTTAAAGGTAAACTATAGCATTTGATCACTTCCATATGTATCTACCAATTTACTTGCTCATGTGCAGTGAGATATATAAGTTGTTAGACGTGTGGTTTATCTAATAGTGCCACAGAATGTTACACCGCTTGGCTACGAAATGGTAAGAGTGGATCAATAAGAAGTGCTATAATTGAATATATATTCAATACTAGTCATTCAATATGTAAGGACAATTCACTCAAAGTCGTCTACGAAGTCAAAACAAGCCTCCAGAAAACGGTAGGCTTTCGTATACTTTGCATTGCAGAGACCTTAGCGATCCGGATAGAAAACCCTGATTCATGTACCCATAAGAAACGTCTCCATCCTCTCCTTCCACTGTGGGTATAATTCCAAGTTCGACTACTTTGTTACCATTACTATTTGTGCATTTTTTGTATGACATTTTGGTAACATGTTTTTCTTGACCGACCTTTTATTTACTCTTTCTACTTATTACGTAATTTGTTTTGGACATTTGTCACCATGTTCTTTTTTCATTAACTGTCTATTTTTCTAGGTGTCTTCCATATTACGTAACTCTAGTCAATACTTACTAATCTTCATGCCTACCTCCTAGTTATAATTTGATTATTCGTCACATTTCTGAGACATTTTGATGACGTAAACAATAACCCTAACTAATTTTTATTCTTGTCTTACAGACCCAATATATACACACACACGCAAATAATTATATATAATTCCGATTTAACAGCTAAGTGAATGAATTTCGCGGCGAAAAGAGACTCTTCACTGAACTGGCTGTTCTTATATTCATTTATTACATGGGTTAATTGCTTTCATTTAATCAGTTAGGCAGGATATTTTAATCGACACAGTTTGTTTCTAATTGCTTTTTCGTGGGTTTAAATATCACTTTTATTCCTTCTTTGTTAGGAATCCTATTTAAGGTTTCAGAAGTTTCCTTTTCGTATGGCAGCAGGAGTGCTGATGTTTGAAACTTCCTCCTGTTGATGCTGCTTTCTTTCGCCGAATGCTTCCTTCACGTTTCAAACATTTAATTTTCAGTTTCTTACGGGATGGGATCACTAGCGTCGCTCCCAACCTTCCATCTTTTTACCGATCTAACTGTTCGTTAAGCAAAGTTCAGGAGTGCGCTGGTTGGAAATCGAACGCTGGCCACCTGGGCTGAGGTCAGACAGCTTTCTCCCATTGAACAACTGACTCACATTTACAGATTATACTCAGTTAAACCATCTGTATCATATTCTCAATTTCGTGGTTTTGAACTATGAGAAAAACTAAAATATTACAGGATAGTGTGGTTATATTGTGGCATAGATGTCGTGGCGGGTGTTGTGCCTGCAGGGGTATGACCTTATGATCTCACATGTCCCTGGCAATGAAAATGTTTTGGTAGACTTTTTATTTAGACCGGAAGACGAATCGGAGTTAGTGGAGATTGTTTACAGAGTATTTTGATTTGACACTAGTAACTAGTGTGATGCGTCTAGTCCTCTCTTTGGTGCAGACTGAATTCCATCAGTCAGGTTGTAATGTGGCCACCATTCTAGGTAGCTCGCCATCACGGTTAACATTGTTTGTGATGATATTAGATGGTTGGGGGCAATCGGCAGGAAGCCTTGGACCTAGGTTTCGTGCTAGTTGGCACTCTTCACCTGACTGATAGAATTGCTGAAGAGTGCCAACTAGCACGAAACCTAGGTCCAAGGCTTCCTGCCGATTGCTCCCAACCATCTAATATGTTTATAGAGTGCATGCATTGAAACAAAATTTGCAGTCAGAAATTAGACCCTACTCTGAATACAGTCATACAGGTAATCGTTAGCGTAATAGAAGCGAACAAAATTACGGCAAGTAAGGATCTAACTACGCTGCTCAGACGGATAGATGGGCTAAAAGTGAACGCCTACGGACTTCTGACTTGGTGAGAGACGATGGAAATTGGTTGGCGGAAATACCTCAGTTTCTACCCCATGAGGTGACACAAGAATGTCAACAGCTAGCATATACAAGAGCAGGCAGAACAACCAACCTCTTCAGACAAAGCATGTATTGGCCAGGGAGGAGTGAAGATGTGGCAAAATATGTACTTGGATATCCGCAGTGCCAGTTGATGGAAGGAGATCCGTACATACGACCGCCTTTGCAGTCAATTCCAATTACGGCATTAGGTGGATTGTGGTCCGTAGATGTAAAGGGTCTGTTTCCGCAGATGCCCAGTTGCAGTCAGTACCTCTTGGTGATGGTGGAATATGCTGCATGATGAGTGAACGGCATCGTGATCCCTGATCAACGCGCAATAACCATGACTGACGCAGTAGTTCGACACATTGTTTTAGACCGTGGTGTACTAAAGACGATAATGAAGATAAGAGTCCTTGTTTCGAAAGTGAAGAATTCACTTCCCGTTTGCGACCGCTGGGTATCAAGAGAATCAGAACAGTACCATATCATCCACAAAAGAATGGTCTAACAGAGAGAGGGGGTGGTTGGCCTCGAAGGGGAGTAACAGGGAGCCAGACTATCAGTATACAGCACAACCTGGCCTCTCCACCAGGAGTGAAATATGTCGAGGCTGAGAACGGAACGGAAAGACGCCATGAAATCAGAATAAGGAGAGAAGATATGATGCAGAATCTTTGAGGTCTGTGATCAATTAAAGTGTAGAGAATGAAAAAGCGCAGGTAGATGTGGGCCAGGTTTACAGAAACTCATCCCAAATTGGGAGGGGCCATACACTGTCATCGAGAGATGTGGTCTCCTTTATACCATCACAAGAGGAAATTAGCAGAAAAATGGTTAACATCAGCCAACTGCAGAAATGGATTCAGTGGGATAAGGAAGGCGGGACCAAGTTACACCAAGAAGGTTGGAGGGGCACCGTTCGAAACTAGTGATAACATTTATCAGTAGTATATGTATGTATATAGCGTAAAAGCATCAAATACCACGAAGACAGATTTGATGTCAGAGAAAACAAATGAATGATACAGCGTTGCAGAGATACATAGGAGACATGAAAGGAGAACACAAACAAACACAATATGAAGGAAAGCCAGAAGTAGCCGGCACACACAACACGGAAGATTTGTGAAAATGTTGTAGTGCGTTCAAGATAAGGTGTACATATGTTTCACTATATACAGCGATACGAAGTCTCTCATCTTCTACCGTTACAAATAATGACTATTCAAGAATAGATCAGCAATATAACGAAAAACGTGTGAGTGTGCGTATGTCTTATGTATTTCACTCTTTATAGACAATGAAACAAGCCAGGGAAATACAATAGGTTGAATTGTTTACAGTTACACAGAATGTACGATCATAATTCATGTCCCAGAGTACACGACTGGTGAATCCAGCTAGCTGTTTATTATTTTGCATCACTAAACCATACACCAGATAACGATAACTATAAAAGAAGAATACGGGAACACAATTAGAATATACGATTTCAAATGGTTAGTCAAACTCTTTGAGTCTTTACATATTGGATTAGGGAAATACAGCATAAACACAGACACCTTTGAGCTTGTTGAATGGATAAAAGATTTAAATGTTGGTAATAAATTCATGATATCATTTGACGTATCTTCCTTATTCATCAATGTGTAACAATTATGGAAACAGTGGACTTTGTTTGTGAAGAACTGATTAGATGAAATGTTAATGTCAGCATTCCTTTATGTTTTATGAGAGAGCTTCTTTTGAAATGCACAATGAATGTTCACTTTTTATTTAATAAGGAACTGTACAGTTATATTGATGGTGTGGCAATGGGGTCACCACTGGGACCCATTCAAGCCGACGTTTTCCTTGCAAAACTAGAGAATGGGCCTTTGAAAGATGTCACTGAGAAGAACTAGAATTCTACTGTCGGCACATGGATGATCCACTTTGCGATTATGAAAAATGAAGAGGAAGCAGAAAAAACTTCCTGTACAAATTTTGATCTTGTGCATCCTTCAATAAATTTTGCCATCAAGAAAGAAAATGACTCTAGTATTTGATTCTTAGACCTTCTTATGACTAGGAAAGAAGTTGGTACAATAAAAAGTGTATATAGAAAACCTACATCAACTGACTGTCAGGATACTAATTTTTTCAGCTTCATGCCCTTGACATACAAACGAAGTGTAATAAAGTGCTTCGTCCACAGAGCAAGAGCAATCTCCCTCAATGAATGTCTTAATAAAGAGCTTATTATCATTGAACAGTTTATGAGTGAGAACTGTTACACAGAAAAAATCGTCGATAAGAATTTGAATCAGAAGCCAAGGTAGACCAAAGTACCAACAGATCCGAAGAAGGAAGGCCTTCTTCTCATGACCTCAATTTCTCGGTGACAAAATCAGTGGGATGTAAACACAACACCTAAGAAATACAGCGGTATAAAGGGCATTCAATGCCGCTGAAGTATTCTGTGAATTCAAGACCACCCTTATTTTGTGTTCGGGAGTTAAAGACAAACTATCTAATTTTGCCTCTTCACTGTGTTTCCAAGAATTTGACTGCTTATTTGGAGCCAGTCAGCTGCTGAGGCCGTACAATTAGGTTTCTTAATCGTCGGATTTCCGAACACCATCCCGCATAGTGGTTAAGTGAGAGACAAACAGAGTCCATTCATAGTTCTATCCTATTTCATCTCGTAGATACAGAATACAGAATTGATGCTAACGAGGGGGCTTTCAAAGCCATCTACCGTCTATCGACTAGTCTTAAGTTTGCCTCAGTCAATATTTTATCTATTAAATATTGCTGAGACTGGCTGTTGGAATCTATAATTAGAAGCCTGACTTGTTTGTCAAAAAGAAGTTTGCTGATTCAGCCTCTTTCCATACGTTGGCTGTCAATCGAGGTTTTAATCCTCCTTAATTTGTTGTGGAAATTTCCTTAGTTTTATTTGGCATTCTAATTACCATTACATTTTTATGCTTATAATAACTTAAGCATCTTACTTCAACTGTAATTCTATTGGTCTTAACAAATCGATTTTATCTAAGAAATACCATTATTGTTACTCGCGATTATTCCAGAATATTCTATAAATATAAATATATATATAATTGTAGAGCCGTAAGAGAGGATTATCGAAAATAATATTCCTTGCTCTTATTTTCTTTTGTCTTCTAATTTAGAAATATCCTTGGGTACCTAGAACAAAGTACCCATCTAATTCGTAGAGGAGTAGGACCTATTTTCTGACCGCTGCTGTACAGTGCAATTAGCGAATAATGGGGAGTTATCTCCCTAATATGCTATTAAATCCTCTAGATAGAATACATATTTAGAGTGTCTTCATGTTAAATAGCATTCAAGTGTGAACCGATTTGAAAATGAACGGTTAGTCTTTTTTTACTAAGAACCGGAAACTAGGGATCACGGGTTTACTGTTTTCTCCTTGTTTGGGACGGTTCAACAGTGAATGCCGACACTGATTCCAACCCGGTGGTTGGATGCTCAGTGGGCTTGCTTCGTGCCATGAATATCTTCAGTTAGTTTGTTAACTGTTCACTATCTCTGAAGAGTCTAAACTGGGACGAAACAGTTGCACAGTACTACCTAACTAACCTCAGTTTTCTGAAAATCAGCTCTGATCATACTTTTTGGTAGTCTTCTTTATTGACTCATTTAGGTGGTACATTTAATGTTCATAAAAATCTTGTTGCTATCCTTGTTGTCTTCTGGGAAGATCGGTCACACTTTTCTAACTTTTAGTGAACTTGTTATCACGATTTTATCGCCAAGCGATGAATATTCTGTGCATCCGAATGGCTGGTTGAAACTTTCGTCTTTATACGATGAACTAAAGTGTGTTATCAGTTTTGATTAGGAATTGATTTCAGTTAGAAACCGATTGTAAACTATGGAGTACTGGATAGCTGTTTCTTTAACTGAAATTAATTCGTAGCTGAAATTGACATCAGTGAAATCCCTGCAAAAACAACATTTAAAGCGTGTTGGTTTTATGTATCCGAATGTAAACGGCTAATCATATACCAGTGAAACTGCCTGTTTCCTGTCTCGACTGGTGTTACTGATTGTGTGATATTCACAAAGGAGCTAGTAACTACTGACTGTCATAAATCAGTAGTTGAAAACCACTCAGGGTCAACACCACTAGCACTTGCTAGCCATTTCTAAGTGATCTAAACGCTGGATGTCTGTTTCGCTCATCTCAAAACAAGCTCATCAAATCTGAGAGCTACAGTCAATTTACACTCATCAAGAGGTGATGAAGATTCCTGGGCAACACCACCAACAGCAACAACAACAACAACAGACAACAATCAGCATAAATGGAAAGAACCTGAAAGAAGCAACCTCTTTTACCTACCTGGGAGGCATCGTTTCGACTTCAGGCGAACAGAACTGACGAGGATATCAAAGCAAGAATCGGAATAGCAAGACAAACTTTCACTACTCTCAAGTCTGTGTGGAGGTCAACAGCATTCAGTATGAAAATGAAAATAAGATCCGGAATTTCAACTCCAATGTGAAGTCAGTGCGACTATACGGATGAGAGACTTGGTGCGTCATAAAGAGCATCTCAAACAAACTACAGACCTTCATTAACGGTTGCCTTCGCTCAATACTCAAGATCAGATGGCCAGAAAAGATCCGCAACAGAGATCTCTGGCAATGAGCGAACCAACCAGGAACCGATTGTGAAACAAATAGGCAGGAAGAAATGGAAATAGATTGGCCATACTCTGAGAAAACCATCAAGTGGCATCACTAGACAAGCCATTGCTCGAGTGGAACCCGAAAGGGAAGCGGCGAGTTGGTCGTCAGTGCAAGGGTGACTTGGTGGGGGTCATGTGAAGAGGAGATGAAAGCATGTGGGGAGACTTGGAGCCGGGTGAAAACTTTAGCAGAGAACCGAACGCAATAGAGACGCGCGGCTGAAGCCCTATGTTCCTCTAGGAATCAAAGGATACAATAATAATAATATATGAAACCTACCGGTCTTTTCCATTGTTTCTAAGCATAGATTTGATTTCATTCGTCAGTGTGATACACAGCCGACTGGCTCTCTTATCATCATAGATTTTTGGAAGCGATTCAAGACGTGATTGTACCAACTGTTCAACTCTTGGCTGTATGCTAGTTATATTGAATACCTCTTTTGGACCAAGTTGATAAGTCGGTAACATACTGATTAGATTATACGGTGCTGGACTAACAGATGCTGGATAGGAAGGAAGAAAGAGCGCGAAATAAGACATAGGACTAGGGGAAAATTAATTGTAAATGATCTACTAAACTTCATTTTGCTATGAATAATGATAATAATAGGGGTTAAAATATGCTCTTAATTTAAAATGAAGTATTACGAGTTAGTTATCCATGGATTGAGATGTGGCATTATAAATCATCCGACCTTTTCACCCGGAAAGTTGTTTTATGATAATATTCAAAAGATGTAGTCTGTTAGCCATATTATTCAATGTGTAAAACTTAGGCACGGTGGTAGTAAGTAATTCCATATTAGTTTGTTTATTAGATATATCATACAGTGAGTGAAACAGTATTATTAACTGAATGATGTTTCGAACAAAATTTGTTATTGTTCATAATCATTCCATCAGTTATAATCACACGACTTCGAAACTTGAGTTTTATAGTTCTCTTTGTCTTCTATTTGTCGTAGGGGAAGTAGAATTTTCCAGATTTCTGGGTGGACAGGTGTTGAATCATTCCTATTACGTGTATTTACAGTTGATTCGATAAACAAAACTGCTGTTGTCAATCTCACCCTCCACTCTGTGACATTAGATTTTGAAACTGGCAGTCATGTTATCCCATCATCCTATTGTACGGTTGTTTGTAATTGCATGTAGTGCTATAGCAGAACTATTCTCTAGATTTTTTATCTTATTCGGGTCAACTAATCTATATTTTGCTAGGTTTTTACGCTCGGTTAGTCTGACTGACCCTGTTCTACTAGTTTGACCTATTTATTTGACCTGACAATCATTGCAGGCAGGGTATTAGATAAACTAAATTGTTTTGTTTTAAAGGCTCCACAGGATCCTTTAGCCGACAAAGCTTGTTTCTAATTGATTTTGTGGGTTTCCGCCTTGTTAAGAATTCGGCGTAAGGTTTCCGAGGTTCCTTCCTTGTATGGAATTACTACTGATGATTTAGATTCCTTATTGTTGGTGTTGTCTTGCGCATATTTGACATGCATGTTGTCGTTAATATTATTATTATTATCACTATCACTACTATCATTATTTATTTTATATTTACATTTCCCTGCATATTTCCTGACGAACTTATCCGGGTAATTATTAAGTTTCAAGGCTTCTCTTATATGTATCACTTCCTGCCTTAGATTTTCCTTGGTACTACTTAGTTTTTGTGCTCTATCACTTAAACATTTCACCAATCCTATTTTTTTCTGACATAGGATGGAATAGGATGACAGTTTTAAAATCTAATGCCACAGGATGGAGGGAGAGATTGATAACGGAAGCTTTGTTTATCGAATCAACTGTAAACCAACACGTGTAATAGGAATGATTCACCACCTCTCCACCAGAACATCTGGAAAATTCTACTACCCCAATGACGATGAATAGGAGAGAACAAAGAAAACTATAAAACTTAAGTTTCAAAGTCGTGTGATTATAATTGATGAAATGATTATGAACAGCAATGAATTTTGTTCGAAACGTCATTCATTTAATAATACTGTTTCACTCACTGTGTGAGATATCTAATACACAAACTAACATATAAGTAGTCTGCTAGCGTCTTGCCAATTAATCGTATAGTAGGAATCGAATAGTCCACTGGTCGATTTTTCGGGGGCCAATGAATTCACACAACTGGAATCAACTGTCTACATATTTTTATTTTAAAATGGCTCTTCCTCAGTTTGGATTGAGACTAATACCCCCAAATAAAATAATTCTTTGCAACCATTTTAAGTGAATAACAGACGAAATAATTGAGATATTCGGGAGTTATTTACCGCTAACTGAAGGTATGTTTTTGTTGTAAATTTTTGAATAAAGAGGGACACATTATTTGTCACCAATAAGTATCATATTAGTTACAGGATTTCATCATGAGCTGACATTGGTTAGAGGACCATTGGAAAACCATCACCGGAGTATTGGACAGCTGTTTAGTCCTAGTTTGGGACTCAGCTTCATCAGTACGCACCCACACCACGGGGTTCGAACCCAGGACCTTCTGGCTAAAAGGCGAGCTCGTAGACCATTAAGCCACTGCGACCCGACCCAGTGGTCAGTCCATGAATTCTAACTTCTGCCAATTCACGGCATAGCGCAACGGCTAGTCAGTGTCATCGGTGGCGAGTATTTGTCCTCACACCCTACTGGTCACGACTTCCCACTAGAACCCGAGGTAACTACCTACCTGAATAGGGCCAGTCGCCAGTGAGAATCTCATTGATATTCAAGTACTGGTTTGTAGGGATTTGGTTGGTTGGTTACAGCTGTCCAGTACTCCATTGCTGGTTTTCCAATGGTTCTCTAACCAATGTCAGCTCATGATGAAATCCTGTAACCAATCAACCATATCCCTACAAACCAATACTTGAGTATCATATTATTTCTCTTCCCTTAGGTTTCAAATGGAACATAGAGTTTCAGCAGCAACAGCACATTGTTTCTTCATTCTTCTGTCTACAGTCTATTTTAAATGGTTTCGTGACTGCCCATAAGCATTCATTTCCTTATCGTATGACCTCCTCCATTTCATCATTGAGGTGATGGCTAACTCGCTGCTACCCACTAAGCTCCCACTTGACGGACTTCTGCGTGATGTAGCTCGACGGTGTCCTCTGTGTATAGCTGACCCATCTTCATTTTTTTCGGCAAATTTGTTTCTTGGATGATTTGTAGCATGTCAGAATTCCTTGATGGCTATTCTTTCTCGTCACTTGATCTTCAAAACCGAGGCAGCGATGGTAGGAATTGACAAAAGTCTGTGACAGCCAGTTGGAACTGCTTTTCGCTAGGCTTCAGGTCTCCGAATAGCGCTCAAACACTGATTCATTTGATATTAGTGTTGAAAGTCCGGGTCTTGTTCATTGGGTTGATTTTAGAGCGATGAAGGTTCGTTTGGCTTTTCCAATTCTGTTCATGACATCCTTACCTGTGCCACCTGTAATTGAAACAGCGCCGTTTAGATAAGTTAAGGAGACAGTTTCATCTTACTCCTATCTTCACTTTAAAGGCTTCGTCCAGTTTTCCATAATGATTTACTTGGCATATGCCGTAAGCATATAGCTTTTGAACGAGGTTGATAAAGATTTGAGGCAGTGGTTTTCGCTGCACTGAAGCAGTTTCCAAATTAATTGGAATTTAGATTTTCCATCGATTGATTGGGCCGAAGTGATCGATGTAAGGTTGACATGTCGGCTTCTTGTGCAGATGCTTCGACGATGTCTGTGCGGGTAATTAGAATTTAATTTGTGGATGGCGACTATCAGTGGAATCCAGGATGGGCATTTCGTCCTGCTTGAGACTCGTCAACTGGATGTGCTTGCATTCCGCAGTGAGTGATGTTATTCCCACCGAGTCTTGAACCTAGTGCAGGTACATCTAGCTGATGAGTCCCAAATAGGACGAAAGGCGCATCCTGGATTCCACTGCTAGTCACCATCCACAAATCAGTTTCCAAATTGCTTCATAGTAAGTGCTGTCGAAGGCCTTTTCAAAGTCTATGAAGCTGATGTAGAGGGTTAACTGCTATTCTATAGTGTGTCCGTTTGTGATACGTTATTTGTTCTTGAATCGGTCTTATTTCGGGTGGTGTGGTATCCTGGTATATAATAAAGGTCAAGACTTATTTTGTTTGCACATTCCCACACATATGCATTCCCTCTACAAATTGAAAACAAACCATGTCATTAAATATAAGGACACTAAGGGTCTTATTAGCTCTGCAGAATCCAGAGATCAGAAGGTGACATCAGGAGATGTAGTTTACATAACTTTATGTGTACACTATCTTGGATCTTTTAATACAATAAGGAGGATATAATAATTGATGAGCAGAGAGTAACTAATGCTATCATTCTAGTTCTTTCTGATTGTGCGGAATGAATTCTACCAGTCGGTTTCTCAACATGGTCACCAAGCTAGGTGATACCGTAGTGACCAGTTAGTGGATCTATTACTATCTTAAAGAGGTTATTCGCCATCTGAATAACTCATTTGCAATGTTTGTAAGTGACACTGAGTAATGCAGTCCTTGTTATTCTCCAAGAGGACATGAGTGTTTTAAAGTTTGCAAATTCGCCCTTCTGAAGAGTGGCAGTAAGCACGAAATCTAGGGCTTCCTGACGATGCATGTCCTAGCACTATATGTAAGCAACCGCAGTTTTGAAATACTGTCTATACACTAAAAACGGCAAGTGCTTGTAACCTGCAATAATCAAAGTTCCCTATACGGACGCTTTTGGCGAAATCATGTCCATATATTTCATTATGATCAGCAGTAGAATCCCAGGTGTTCTCTTCCTAATTTTATAGCTCAATGAATAACGATGTAGCCGTTAAAGATACAGCCTACTAGTTTCAGTTTTGATTAGAAATATTAAATTGAGTGCATGTAAATCCCGCCGAAGTGTCACACGGACAATGAAACCGACCTATTAATTTTGCTATTATCCCCTACCTACCTCGCCTAGATTACTAGGTCACTAGTGTTCTAGCTGGTCCCAAGCCCGGATAAAGAGGGAGGGTTGGGGCGTGATGCTAGCAACTCCACCCCCAAAACTTAACCAAATTGCTACTAAAACTTCAACGCACAAATATATTCAAAATTCTAAAAATACATACAATAACCTTATTTTTGGTATACGAGCTCGCCTTGTAACCAGAAGGTCCTGGGTTCGAATCCCGGTGGGTGCGTACTGATGAAGAGTCCCAAACTAGGACGAAAAAGCTGTCCAGTACTCCCAGCTGGTTTTCCAATGGTTCTCTAACTGATGTCAGCTCATGATGAAATCCTGTAACCAATCAAATCCCTACAAACCAACACTTGAAAAACCTTATTTTTCGCTGGAATCGGGGAAGTGAAATGACGCAGACTGGTGAAAGCCTTCGGGAAGCCAGTCAGCCGATGTGCCTTCTTTCGATGAAAGCAAAAATAAGGATGGGGACGTGGAATATTCGTTCAATGTACGAAACTGGAAAGGCTGCTCAGGTAGCCTCAGAAATGAGGAGATATAAAATAGAAGTGTTGGGAATCTGCGAGAGCAGATGGAACGGATGTGGAAGGAGATAACTGCCAACTGGAGAGACAATAATCTACTCCGGTCACCCAGAGGACAATCACGAGCACACCGAGGGAGTAGCCATCATGATTTCAACAACAGCAGCCAAAGCTCTCATGCAGTGGGAACCAATCTCCTCCAGGATAATGACAGCTAGGTTCAACTCAAAAGGAAGGAAGGTTACAATCATTCAATGCCACGCGCCTACAAACGTCTCAGAACAAAAGACGAAGGAGGATTTCTACAGTCAACTACAAACAGTAATGGACAACGTCCCAAAGAGCGATATCAAAATCCTGATGGGTGACATGAATGCGAAACTGGGAGGAGACAATACAGGAAGAGAACTCACCATGGGTCGTGAGGCCCTCGGTGAAATGAACGAAAATGGTGAACTCTCCTCAGACTTCTGCGCCTTAAATGATTTGGTGATTGGTGGCAGTGTGTTCAAACACAGAGATATACACAAGGCAACATGGATTTCACCAGATGGACACACCAAAAACCAGATAGACTTCATTTCAATCTCAAGGAAGTGGAGACGGAGCCTACTGGACACAAGATCTAGGAGAGGAACAGGTGTGGATTCAGACCACTATCTAGTACAAGGGACTTTCAAGGTGAAGCTGAAAGCCTCAGGGATACCTGGGGATAGGCCACAATGCAAGTTCAACACGCAAAAACTGAAGGACACAACCACAAAGGACATTTTCACTGCAACTGTCACAGCAAAGCAGGAAACACTACGTGGCACCACCGAGGAATCATCCGTGGAAGACCATTGGAACTATCTGAAGGTAATTTTCAACGAAACGTGTTCAACGGTTTTAGGAAGAAAGAAGAAACAAGACAAGGAATGGCTCTCAACGGACACTTGGAAGCAAATAGAGGAGAGGAGAAAGGTGAAAGAGAAAATGATTCAATGCAAAGATGGACAAGAGAAAGAGACGCTGAGCTCAACTTACACAGCACTGGACAAAGAAGTGAAGAAGAGTGCCAGGAAGGACAAAAGACAATTCTACGACAACCTGGCTACTGAAGCTGAGAATGCATTAGGCAAAAGGGACCTAAGGACACTATATCAGATAACCAAGTCCCTATCCGGGAAGAGATCAACACAAGTGAAACCTATAAAAGACAGCCAAGGGAACCCAATTAACAAGGAAGAAAGACAGATTAAACAATGGGCGGACCACTTCAAAGGACTCTTGAACCGACTACCACCTGCAACCCGTCCAGAAATACCAACAACAGTGCGTACACAACTGCAAGTTGACACCAACCCTCCAACGAAAACTGAAGTCTCCAATGCAATCAAGCTTCTGAAAGCTGGAAAAGCAGCTGGACCAGATGGAATACCCCCGGAAGCACTGAAAGCGGACCCAGGGACGACAGCAGATATGCTGACTCCGTTATTGCAAAAGATCTGGAAAGAGGGAAAGGTGCCTACTGACTGGAGGAAAGGTTACCTGGTGAAACTACCAAAGAAGGGCGACCTGGGACTCTGCAAGAACTGTTGAGGAATCATGCTCCTGTCGACGCCAAGTAAAATCCTGAGTCGCATCGTCCTGGAGAGAATAAAGGACGCACTGGATACAGAACTCCGACCAGAACAAGCTGGATTCAGGAAAGGCAAATCATGTTCTGACCAAATTGCAACTCTAGGCATTATCATCGAACAAAGCATGGAATGGCAATCAAATCTCTACCTCAACTTCCTTCATAGACTTTGAGAAGGGCTTCGACAGCGTTGACCGCGAAGTAATTTGGAAACTACTCAAGTACTACGGCGTACCCCAAATATTCATCAACCTTATTCAACAGCTGCATGACAACGGCACATGTCAAGTGATCCATAACGGAAAACTCAGCGAGGGGTTCGGAGGAAACACAGGAGTCAGTCAAGGGTGCTTATTACCACCAATGATATTCCCGATTGTGTTGGACTGGATTATGCGTCAGACAGTGGGAAACGAGAAGACAGAGTTATCCTGAACCGACGTGAAGAACCTAGAAGACCTGGATTTCGCTCGTGGATGATTTATGTTTGATGTCACAAGAAATCGAAGACTTACAAGCGAAAACCGACAAACTGGTCGAAGAGGCTGGCAGCAAAGACAGGACTGCAGGTGAACATAGACAAGACGGAGGTTATGAAAATTACCAACCAACCAACCAACAACAACAACAACAGCAGAAGCAGCAACATCCAGTGCCAATCACCATCAACGGGAGGGATTTCAAAGAGGTTACTTCATTCACTTATTTAGGGAGCATTGTCTCAACTACAGGCACATGGAACGGACGGGGATGTCAAATCGAGAATTGGGAAGGCGAGAAACACATCCATCAACCTGAAACCAATCTGAAAATCTTCGTCACTGAGCATCAACAACAAAATTCGGATTTTCAATACAAACGTCAAGTCAGTTCTTCTATACGGATCAGAAACTTGGCGGGTCACAAAGAATATTTCAACCAGCCTGTTGCAGACATTTATCAACAAGTGTCTTCGTTCTATACTCAAGATCATATGACCGGAAAGAATCACCAACAAGAAACTATGGGAAGAAACAAAACAAGAACCAATCGCCCAACAAATATGCAGGAGAAAGTGGAGATGGATCGGACACTCGCTGAGGAGGCCGCTGGGTGACATCGCCAGGCCAGTGCTCGAGTGGAACCCGAAAGGGAAGCGATAAGTGGGACGTCCAAGGGTGACATGGAGGAGATCGTGTGATGAGGAACTGAAACAGTATGGACTAACATGGATGCAGGTGAAAAGTACAGCAGAAGACAGAAGCAAGTGGAGGCGTGCAGTTGAAGCCCTATGTTCCACTAGGAACCCAAGGGAATAATAATAATAATAATAATAATTGTATATACAGCCATAGGGTGGGTTGTTTTAAGAATACACAGCACAAAAATCAAATCTGCCGATGCAAATTCTTAAAGCTCGGTTTATTATATATCTTCAGAAAGAAACAGTTATCAGTCTTTTCTTGCCCTGGTAACTTGCTTGATTTCATTAATCTCGCTTTATATTTGATTACGTAATCCTTGGCTTTCACTTCTTCCCCCATTCTCTATAATGGAATTTTATTTCGCTTCTGTTTCCATAATTTGAATTGAACCCACCGCATTGTTGTGGAACTTCTTGGTTACTTATCATCTGCTTACCCACCTTTTGTCTTCATTACGCAACTCATTTTCCAATCTATCCAAACATTTATTCATTTAATTTTTTAGGTGTTTTATTGTTGAAATTTTGACTTTCTATGTTATATATATCATACAAGTGCAATTCCCTAGAATCGTTTATCATTTCTGGAGTGTCCTACTAACTGAGACCATGTAACACTTGCAAGTAGGTTGAAACCGTTCTGTACATAGACTGCGCGTCCGTGGCACAGCGGTTAGGACTCTCGCCGACCATGCACATGGTCCGGGGTTCAACCTCCTCCCGATGCACACCCGATATCTATGGTTGGCCTGCAAAATTTGGGCTACCGATATCACATGCTGAAAATTCCATACTTCTATTAGAAAAATATCGTGTGGAATCAAGCTATAATCAAAATAAATAAAAAATAAAATAAAAAAATAAATTAATGTTTTTAGGCTCTACGTAGCTGATGAGAAACCTACAATATAGGTGATGGTACCATCTTATTCTGCAGAAACTGTTAGTTTTACTTTACGGCTTTCTTCCGCGAGTTGACATTAGTTAGGGAACCATTGGAAAACCTGCAGGGAGTACCGTATAGCTTTTCCGTCCTAGTTTGGACTCTTCCAGAGTACGCACCCACTGGGGGGTTTGAATCCAGAACTTTTTGATGACAAGGCAACCACTGGGACACGGTCAGATGGCACATGAATTCCAATTTCTGTAAGCTTCATCATAATACAATACAAACGCCACTCAGTATCATTAATGAGTTTAATTTTATTCGAAAAAAAAATAATAGATTGCTTTGAAATAACTTACATAATCTACTGAATGTGCTTAAACGTCTATGATATTTATCATCAGTAAATGTTGATAAAAATTTCCGTGTAATTCGTTTTGCGGCTAGAATACTTAACATTGACAATGGTGGTCGATTTCCAGGCCCCGAGGTCGATGACAATGATGGTGTATACTGACTAATTTTTCTGCTACTGCTACTACCACCACCACCTCCTGCTGTCGGACAGTCGTTTTCTTGAAACGTGAGCACCTTGTTTGTCTCCACTGCTGATATTGGTCCATTGATAGAAACATTTAGGCAGGATAGCGGGGAACGATTCGGACAACTAGCTGGTGTTTGAGGTTGAACTTGTCCTGTAGCTAAAGGGGAATATGCATGGGAAGTAAGATAACATGAAATTATTTTATGATACACTTCTATAGTACTAATAAGTAGTAAATAAAGTTTAACGAAATAATCGTGGTACCAGAAGACTCAAAAATTAACAGATATACGTGCAAAACGTCTATTAATTGATGTTAATGACAGCGTGCTGAGATAATGGCAGTTGTCGTTATTATCCAGAGTGACATATTTGAAATGCAAATATGTAAAAAGGACTTTATTTGCAACTTCCTGGTGACCTGTCTCGATAGAACTGATTTGTCTCCTTTTGGAATATTGTCATTGGGCAAAAAACAGAGATCATCTTGACCACTAACTTGATATTATGTATCTGAAGGTGGCTATCAGTGAACTGAAAGATGTGTGGTTCGTCCTATTTGAGACTTTTCAACTATGTACACCTGCACGCATCACTAATGATGTTTCTATTGAGATCACAATGTCGCCAAAACTTAGTCCAACAATTTGAGTTTTCCTTTGATTATAGCTTGAAACCACACACTGTTTTTGGTACAAGTATGGAATTTTCAGCATATGATATCGGTAGCCCAAATTTGCAGGCCGACCATAGATATCGGGTGTGCGTCGGCAGGGGATCAAAACCGGTACCATGTGCACGGTCGGCGAAAGTCGTAACCGCTGTTAACTGGGAAGTAGGTATATTAGAGTGAGGAGTTGTAAAATCAAATTGGCATGGTGCATTCCAAATTAAAGTAACCCCTTCATGCTTTCTCTCAGGGATTGCTTCGTAACATGGTTCTGTTTAACTAAGATTACGAATCCACTTCAGTGAAAAAACCACTGTAAACCATGGAGTAGGCTATGTCTGATTTGTCTTGCCTTGGGATTCATCATCAATACTTATCGATTACCCAACCTTTGGGAGTTCCAATCTAGGACCTTCAACTTACAAAGTGTGTTTGCACATAATTCAGCCACTTGGACAGGATCCAACAACCCATAACTTCTAACTCCTGCCATTTTAGGATATGCAGTGTGACCTCCAGCCAACCATTGTCGTCAGTGAGCATCTGTCCTCACTCCTAACTGATGGGACATCACTGATCATGACTTCCTATTAAAACTTCAAGTAATTTCATCCTTCATTGAGTCACTAGTGAGCACTAAATAAATTTTCAAGGGTTGGTTTACTAGGATTTCAATGATTTCAATTTTGATTAAGAATAGACGTTGTTTAGAAAGCCATTACAGTCCGGTAAGCACAGGAGAAGCGTTTTGTACTTGCGTGAGACTCATCATCAGGAGTAAAATTCAAGTGGCTCACTGATGATACTGGCTGGGAATCGTGGTGTATCCCGAATTGGCAAAAGTAAGATTTGAACGACCAGTGGATTCAATTCTAATGGTTGAATGGTGTTTGAGTTTGCTCTGTAACTTGAAGGTTCTGGATTTCTACCTAGCAGGTGGGGTGATGAGTGCGCATTGGTGAAGATTCCTAATTCAGGATGAATAGGCTGTCGCTTGCCAACTGATTTTTGATGATTGTCTAACTAGAGCCAATTCGTGATGAAAACAGAAATCAGTCAAATCCCTGGAGACCGATACTTGAAAATGGTTTCCTTGAATTAGAGATTCTGTCACACTAAGGCTCATTGTCATCGCTCTGAAGCGATACAAGTATGTTGCGAATCAACAAAAGTTATGGTTCACGAGTCTGTACTGAAACTGATAAGTGTTTTGAAGCGAAATAAATGAACGATTCGAATATGAATGATTGGATCAGTAAATGAGACGAATATATGGGTACAAAAATATTATTAAAACAATCTGCTCCCCTTCAGTATTCAAGATTATGATACTAAGATTCAGGTAAATTAAAAAATGAAGTTACCGATTCGAATTTGTAATTTTCAAGTTAATATCGCCATTCCAACGGTGGCTAGCGTTCTGAGTAAAAAATAGGGCTTTAGCGGCAAACCATCTTTTGCAGTCCTTTCGCAGCTGGTTACACGAATGTCTATAAGCTTTAATTTATTCTTAACATGATCTTTTTCATACCAATTTCGGATGACTGACTCGTTGCCTTTAAGTCAAGTTTCACAAGAGCCTGGCAATGTTGTATCACTTGAAACTCGCTTCCATAGAGGCTAACCGAAATTTGGATGATTTAAATTGATTCAGGCTTTTGATTTGAGTCAGTTCAGATGCAGCTCTGATTCTCTCAGACTCAAATAAGCCAAATAACCATTCAGCGTGTCTTACAGTGGTCATCCAATCTATAACTAATGACAAAGGGAAATGTTATGAAGGATTAACTTTTCTGTTACCTGTGAAGTCATGATTCATGCATGTCCTAAAATGACGATCTCACTGGATGGTCTTGATTCGTCTATTTATGGCTCAAGTTTCTGAGGTTTTGTAAATATAAGGTACCACATATTCTCTTTAATAAAGGCTTTTGCAGTCACTGTCCGTATCGTTTCTCCCAATCTGACTTTTTTTATCTATCTCATTGTAGGTAATAAATTCAAGTAGACAGTTAATTATAATCTGGTGTTCTGAAAGCTCATTCTACTTACGTTAGACGACTACACAACTCAGTATCACTCTGTTAAAACACATTTTGACGATGGGGTTATAACAGATACTTCGAACACTTCTATTTGGCTAGCAAACATTAATGTTTAACTATTGTGGTTTCAGCTACTCATATCAACATATCAGTAGTATATACGAATTAGTAAAAGATCTGTCAAAAAGCTTAGAAACATCTTAGTTATTTTTAAAGTAAAGTTTAATGAGTGTGGGCTTACTGTCAGTTATGTACAGCGATTTTGCACACGTCGAATCACTAAACTTATTGACTTTAATGTATTGAGACTCGGAAAAATTGACATAACAATTTACGAGTGAGATATTGTGAGATATTCTGTTCCATATGTGCAAACCAAGTTCACTTTTAACAGTTTGAAGAAATTTGGGCATTGGGTATATGATGTTCATTACCGAAAGTCTTGATATCACTTCCAGTTTACTAGTATCAGATACAACGCTATCACAAATATGTTCACTGGATACCAGTGAAATAGTTAAGAGCTTAGAATTCTCTCTGGAAGGTAATTATTTTACATGTAGGCAGAATTTATATAGACAGACAAATGGTGTTGCTAGGGTTACACTAGTTTCCCCAATAGTCGCTGATCTATTCATGAAAAATACTCGAAGATATCATCATTTCAAGTATACTCATTCCTAAAATACGGTTGAGATATGTAGATGATACTTTTGTAGTGCTAAAAGGAGATCTACACAGTTCATTCTTGGAGAAACTAAACAATCTACCTCTAAGAATCCAGTTTACTTCGAAAGCAGAATCCGACGTCGATGAACTACCATTTCTAGACTGCCTAATTAAAAGAAGGCAAAACGGACATTTTAGTATATCTATATTCATGAAGGAAACCCCCTCCAATAAATATTTAGACTTCGGATTATCACACTCCATCAACACAAAGGTATCAGTTATTTCAAGTCTTCTTAGACAAGCTCACTCGCTGATAACGGATGAGGAAGAAAAAGAAGAAGAAATATCAAACATTACTGAAACGTTCAAGCAAAACAACTACCCAAAGAACTTCACCAACAAAATCAATACTGACATTAACTATGGTCGAAAACGTATTCCGAAAACATGGACCTCATTAGTTGTTATTCCATATAGGCCGTAAGATTCGTCAGACGATATTAGAAGGGTGCTCAATAAGCACATCATCAGAGTTTTCTTAAAAACATCAAACTGACACACTACGAAACAACCTTGTCCATATAAAAGACCAAATCTGTAATGATTCTCTATCTAATTGTGTTTATAAAATAAAGAGCTTAGAATGTGGTGCAGACAAACATCGCCAGAGAGAAATCAAAATCAGAAGAAATGAACACCCTAGAGCACCTGTTCGACTAACCACCGAGAAATCCAGTTAGTGAACTAGAAAAGCTTGTAAAATCATCAGCCATAGGTCGTCTAAATGCTTTAGAATCTGGCCACAAAATTGATTTTCACAACATTGAAATAATCCAGAAAAAACATTTCAGAAATCACAAAGAACGTCTCATATCATCAGAAGCACTTCATATCAAATGGAATCCAAATTGTCTGAGTAGGAATGATGGACTGAGATAGAACTTGGCCTGGTTCCAACACTCCTCCACCCCATGAAGTGATAAAATCGACACAAATGTGTTAAGCAATTTCATTATGTAACCACACGCTGCTTTTATAATTTTATACACTTATCAAATCCAACAATCTACACACATGGTTTTGTTATCTTTACCAATTGGCCAACTTGACAAAGCAAAAAATAAACACTTACTGGGGAACGACGATTAAGTCGTTATATATAAGCTGAGTGGATTTTTTAAATTCTGGTTTAATAATACTTTGATAAAGCTATTAGTAGCATTAAATAGAGAAACGTCAGTAAAAATACACTAATATCGTTTTGTTTTCCATTCATTGGGAAATACAAAATACCTTTATTGTAATGAATATTCTCTTCTAGTTCCGATAATCAAGACGTGGCATCATTAATGTATTCCTGAGTGTTTTTATCTTAGTGTACGTGAGTTAGGAGATAATATGGTATCACCTGATATTCTCCCAAGACGTCCGACTCACAAGATGACTAAATATTAGTATAGAAAGGAATTTTTATATAAGAAAAGTACATGGACAGGACAATAAACACATTTTCATAGCTTTGTTCCTCTCCACTATGAAGGCAATTTGGTAAAGACCCTCAGATACACTGCTTGAGCTATTTCTTCCAAAGATACGACTGAAGAAGAACAACATTATCTGAAAACAGCCACCCCCGAAAAGTTCATCACGAAACACATGGGCAAAAAGGTAGCAAAGAATTCATCAGTATCTGTTAACAGAAATCCTCTACATATATAACTTCAATTCAGAGGTTATATGCCACACGAAATAACAACCAACAAGTTGAGGAGACACATTTGAAGGCCTTTTAATGCCGGTAGACATCTACAACTCATATTTTTCACACGACTGCCCATTATTCTGAGAGAGAATGACGAAGTATTTAGGCCAACCATCTCTTAGTGTATATATTAATTCAACTGCTATCCTTTGGAGTCAGTTAAACTGGCCGTTGCTCTAGGAACTTAGTTTTTCGTGCTTGGGAATACCTACCAGTATGTGACTAAATAAAGGTACTGTTGAAACTATCGACATTTCTACATTAGATCATCTCGTCGTCCACAGGCCAAAAAACTAGCATTGAAGAGTCTTTTACTATTATCTATCGAATGCTGAACACTTAAAATGGCAGAGGTTATCAAAATTCTCTCTGTGTTCAAAAGAATCAGATCCAGACACTACTGCTACTCTGGTCTGCTGTGGAACCTACAAATTCATAAATTCCCTTAATCTATCAACTATTCCTTTGAATACTGTATTTACTCATATTGCCATTTACAGATACCGTTGAAATGTAGTCTATTCGTCTTATGGATTCAATATAATATAAAGCTTTAATTTGCAATTGGCACTATTCTCTGAGCTGGTTGGTTTAATTGAGGAGCTTTCGTCGTCATCCTGCTAGGCAACATCTTCAGTGCAAGTTTTAGCATAAAATGAACTGATTTAAATTTTTTCCATGAATGATAGAATTGCGTCTCCTGGTTACCACCTTCGTGACTGTATTGATCCTTTTTCCTATTGACTTGGAATTTGAAAATTTCTTGTCACATGTGATTTACTTCTTATTGGTTGGTAGATTTGGTCTATAATATTAACATGTTTGTTGATCGCTGACTGATTCACTTGAGTACCAACCAGGATTCTAGGAATTCCTTGACTGCAATTTTGGTGTTTCCTTTGTTTAAAATTTCGACATTATTCCAATCATCAAATTGGTGTTCATAATTGTCTACACGCATTGATATGAAAGGATATATATCATGTCGTTCTTGGATTCGGATTCGAAGAGGACGCCCACTTTGTTGACCGATATAATTTCTGTTACAGTTCATTCAATTTATTTTGCAAATGGTATTAATTTTATCTTCTTTTTCTGGTGGATGGGTGTTCTGGTTTGCACAATATCGAATGAAGTGATTGTGCTGGCTGGTGTGTTATATCTATTTCGAACGGTTTCAATATTTTAGCTGTTATTTCAGAGATCATGCTTCTGTCGACGCCAAGTAAAATCCTGAGTTGTATCATCCTGGAGAGAATAAAAGACGCACTGGATACAGAATTCCGACCAGAACAAGCTGCATTCAGGAAAGGCAAATCATGCTCTGACCAAATTGCAACTCTACGCATCATCACCGAACAAAGCATTGAATGGCAATCAAACTCCTACCTCAACTTTATAGACTTTGAGAAGGCCTTCGACAGCGTTGACCGCGAAGTAATTTGGAAACTACTCCAGTACTACGGCGCGCCCCAAACATTCATCAACCTTATTCAACAGCTGTACGACAACGGCACATGTCAAGTGATCCACAACGGAAAACTCAGCGAGGGGTTCGGAGTAAACGCGGGAGCCAGAAAAGGGTGCTTGTTATCACCAATGATATTCCTAATTGCGGTGGACTGGATTATGCGTCAGACAGTGGGAAACGAGAAGACAGAGTTATCCTGAACCGACCGACGTGAAGAACCTCGAAGACCTGGTATTCGCAGATGATTTATGTTTGATGTCACAAGACATCGAAGACTTACAAGCGAAAACCCACAAACTGTTCGAAGAAGCAGCCAGAGAAGACAGGACTCCAGGTGAACATAGACAAGACGGAGGTTATGAAAATAACCAACCAACAACAACAACAGCAGCAGTAACATCCAGCACCAATCACCATCAACAGGAGGGATTTGAAAGAAGTTACTTCATTCACTTATCTAGGGAGCCTTCTCTCAACTACAGGAGGAACGAACGAGGATGTCAAATCGAGAGTCGGGAAGGCGAGAAACACATTCATCAACCTGAAACCAATCTGCAAATCTTCGTCACTCAACTCAGCATCAACAACAAAATTCGGATTTTCAATACAAGCGTCAAGTCAGTCAGTTCTTCTGTATGGATCAGAAACGTGGCGGGTCACAAAGAATATTTCCAACAGCCTGTTGCAGACCTTTATCAACAACAACTGTCTTCGCTCTGTACTGTAGATCAGATGGCCGGAAAGAATCACCAACAAGAAACTATGGGAACAAACAAAACAAGAACCAATCGTTCAACAAATATGCAGGAGAAAGTGGAGATGGATTGGACACTCGCTGAGGAGGCCACTGGGTGACATCGCGCGTCAGGCCGTTGCTCGAGTGGAACCTGAAATGGAAGCGGCGAGTGGGATGTCCAAGGGTGACATGGAGGAGATCGTGTGAAGAGGAGTTGAAACAGCATGAACTAACATGGATGCAAGTGAAGAGTACAGCAGAAGACAGAAGCAAGTGGGGACGTGTAGTTGAAGCCCTATGTTCCACTAGGAACCCGAGGGAAAAATAATAAAAATAATAATAATATTTCAGAGATATTTTTGATATATGGTAGAATGAACTTTCTTGTAGTCTTTGAAGATGATGGTTTCTTGTTGGTGTTGTGAATCGATTTTAAACACTTTTTGATGAAATTGCGACGGGGATATCTATTCTTTTTGAAGACGATTGGTAGATATTTTCCTCCGTTTTTTTCAACACTGGAGTAGTGCTACAGTGTGTTTGAATTTTTTTAAACAATGTCTGCACTTTAATGTTGTGAATAGGACTGATTCTTGAATTACTTACTATAGGCATAAAAATGTGGAACCTTGCGAAGAGAAACTTATCGAAAATATGAATATTCTCTATTTAAAATATTTTACCGCCCATTGGATAACCGGCACAAGAGAAACACTTACTTGAATATCTTGATAAGGATAAACGTTTAACACCTTGTGCTTTAGATATGCTATCCAACCGAGAATTTCTTCGCTGACTGAGTTTACTATTAGTACTATTATCATTATTATTATTGTCATTTTCCGGTAATTCAGAAGTTTTGCTTTTCACCGTTGGTTCTTCAGTAACTGTTTCTAATTCATTCGTCTTAGAATTTCTTTTAGGCGTTGATTCACTCATCCCAGCAAATGAACACTGAATGTAGACAGAGGGGAAAAAATTCCAAACATTTGTGATTTAAATCGAATTTTTATATAAAATATCTCGATATACCAAGTGAAATAATTACGAAGAAATTAAGAAAATCAGTTCACAGAACTTTTAATACTAGCGAACTAACTACGCGTCTTATTCTCTACACGACCGATGGTGATCCCTTGACTGAAATATGAAGTAACTAGACTAGCCACTTCCAATCGCATCTACTAATTCGACTGCGCTTGTGGAGCGAGTTATATCAGCCGTTCATCTAGGAACTTGATTTTTCATGATCACTTGAGAACATCCCCAGTATGACTAAGCAAAGGTGTAGTAAAAACCATCAACAGTTCAATATCAGACCACCTGATGCGAACCAGCCACAAAGCCAGCATAGAAGAATCCTTCTCTAGCATCTACCGGGTGCCAAATAAATTGCCGAAAACATCGAAGTATCACATGCTCCAAACAGCAGAGGCTATCGCAATTCGTGTGAAACAACCAGTGTTTTGTGTGCAAAAGAAGCAAGTCCAGCCAGACACTACTACTGCTCTGGCCAATCTTCAGTAGAGTCTATAAATTCATGAATTTGTAATATTATCTTTCCTAATTTTTCTGATATTCGGTTTATTTTATGTTGATGCTATTGAGCTGTAATCTATCAATATTACTGATTCGATGTTATTTAAACAACATTAATTTTGTTCATAACACTAATTCATTCATTCACTATAATGTATGTCAAACTGTAGAGCCTGATAATGAAGTTATCGAAAAGAGTATTCTTTGTTTATTCTTTTGAAAATATTAGTTCTAAATTACGAAACGTGCATCGGTGTTTTAGTGGTTTAGTACTCTCCAGTCATGTATGTTTCCCAAGGTTCTATCCATAGTCTGCGCACACCTTCATCTCCCGCAGCTGGTTGTAAGCCTGGCAGAGAGCAAAGGTTGAGAGTGAGTCTAGCATCTCTACCCCGTAAAAGCACATCACTGTCACTGAAACTCTGAAGCTGAAACTTAAAGTCCTATGTTCCAGTCGGGACACAAAGCAAAAGAAACATATTATGAAATGACTTTTTTGGTCAGCAATAGTGAAAAAGGGATCAGGACTTAGTATTTATGACGCATTCAATAACAAACAGATGGAATACGCAGATTACCATCTATTTTGATGGTGAAGCTATCCGAGATAATCTTAGGTGGATCCAGCAGATGAAAATTGAAGGTGAAATAGAGATCTAGTTCGTAGGAGGATTTAAATCAACCGCCACCAGTGCAGTGCACCACCGATTGAGTTGCGAAAATAAACTGGTATTAGGCTTATAAATTCACTGCAATCACCACGTGGAATATCCATTTTTCGTCAGGATGCGCATTTCGTCCTATTTGGGACTCGTCAACGGAATGAGGCTGTACAAGAGGTGGCTCTCGTGGCCCAGATGGTCTAGTGGGTAACGCTTTGGGGTCTGAAACTATGGGCAGTGGGTTCGAGCCTCGGTGGGAATGTCATCACTCACTGAGGAATGCAGGTACATCCAGATGACGATTAGATTCAAGTGGGACGAAATGAGCGTTATACTGAACACCACTGCTAGTCACCATCCACCACTTAAGAAGTTGGGATGCTGGGTGTTAATGGATGATCAGATCATCCTATTTATCCCTTGTTCCGCAGACTGTTATTCATGTTAGGTCTGGTACTTCATTTGGCAGATAGAGAACTACTAGTTTGCAAGCTACCGTTCCATCTTACCTCCCACTACCACCCATTCAGGGTACGTCACCAACTGACTAATATCAGTTAGGAAACCATTGGAAACTAGAGATTAATCAACAGCTGTTTCATACTAGTTTGAAACTCTTCAGCACTAGACATCCATCACTCCATCGAAGATTGAACCCAAGACCTTCGGGTACCTAGTCGAGGCCGTTGACCGTCTAGCCACTAGGGCAGAATGCAGCATCGGATCATGAATACTAACTGCTTCCCAACTAGTGATATACGTATACTTTCACTGCAAGCAAATATCAGCAAGAGAGCGGGTATCTATCCTCACAATTGATTTTGATGTAGTTGTGTTCTCTGAGTTGGATATTTTATTTACGAAGCTTACATTGCCCTACTAGGTAACATCTTCAGCGTCTATTTCAATTTGATGAAGTGAGCTTTTAGATTTCACCACTAGTTTATCACTAGTTATCTCTCCTGGTGACCTCTAGGCTATTTGTATTGGAACTGATTGTTTCCTCGAGTTGAACTTTGACCTTTTATGTTGAGATTTCTTTCTTGTGGATTGGTATATTTCATCTATTTCGATGTATCTGTTGATTGATTGATGGAGTACCAGGTTTCTAAAAATCCTCCAGCATTCTTGATGTTTCCTCTGTCTAATATTTGAACACTGGTTGTCCCAGTCGAATTGGTGTCCGTGGGTGTCTGTATACAGCGATATGAGTGAGGGAGTTGATGTCATGTCTTTTGACGGCTAGTTGATGTTCTTGAATATGAAGATGAATGTAGTGTTTTTCGCAGTGGTCGCAATTTATTTTGTAGATGATGTTGGTTTTGCCTAGTAGGGCATGAAAGGTTCGCAAATAAACCAACCATCCAGCTCAGAGAACACAACCAGATCAAAATCATCCACCTGAGCTACAAATCTTCTCTATCATATCCTCACACTTGATTTGATGAACCTCAATGATCAAGATTTCTGGGCAGAACTACAGGCAGTCTGTCTATTCACCTATCTCTATAATTTATTTTCACTTTTTGCAGATGTAACGTGTACCTTCATAAATTTTAATATTGTAAAAATATTCATTCAGACATCTACAAAACACAAAATAATCGAGCAAAGAATATTCTTTTCGATAAATTCCTCTTCCAGGCTCTACAATTATATATGCATGTTTATATACACAGAATATTTTAAATTAGTAGTTAATATCTATATTAGCGTCTTTTAAATAATATCGATTTGTAAAGTAAGATCACAGTGGAATTACAGTTCATTAAAGATGCTTAAATTATAATAATAATAATAATAATAATAATAATAAAGATATAGTAGCAAATAGAATATCAACTAAAATTAGGAAATTCCATATTAGTTTGTTTATTAGGTATATCACACAGTGAATCAGTATTATTTACTGTAAATAATAAATAAATTTACAGTAAATAATACTGATTCACTGTGTGATATACCTAATAAACAAACTAATATGGAATTACTTACTACCACAGTGCCCAAGTTTTACACATATATTAAAATTAGGAAAATTCCACAAAAATTCTGGAATATTCAAACCTGGATGGCCAAGGTAATGATAATGACTGAACTAACTTCTTTTGGGTGCATAAATTAGGCGAAACTAGAAAATGGGTCTTTAAAAGATGTTATTAATGAACTCGAATTTTATTGTCTAAACATGGATGATACTTTTTTGATTATGAAGAACGAAAAGGAGGCAAAGAACATCCTTGATAAATTTAATGAAGTACATCCTGCAATAAATTTTACCACTACTAGTATCTCGTTTCTAGACGTCCTTATGACCAGAAAAGAGGATGGCACAATAAGAAGAAGTGTTTATAGTTTACCTACATCAACGGGCCAGTGCACACATTTTCTCAGCTTTGTGCCCTTCAAATACAAACGCAATCTAATGAAGTGCTTGGTCCACAGAGCAAGAGAGATTTGCTCGGATGAATGTCTTGACGAGGAGTTTAACAATATTAAACGGTTGCTAAGTGAGAATGGTTATCCTGAAAAGTTTATTGATAAGAATCTGAATCTGAAACCAAAACAGTCCAAGTTATCAACAGTTCCGGAGAAAGCCTTGTTCTTACAGATGCGGTTCCCAGGAGACAACACCAGTGAGATACTAACACAGCGCCTTAGAAATGCGATAAAAAGAGCATTCTCTGCTGCTCAATTACCCTGTATCTTTAAAACCACTCCTCTTCTGCGTTCAGGAATAAAAGACAAACTGCCTGGTTTCGCCTCTTCCATGTGTATCTACCAACTTAACTGCTCCTGTGGAGTGAGCCAGTTAGTTGCATAGGCCGCACAATTAGGCGTGTTTGTCATCGAATTTCCGAACATCACCCTGCCTGGTTAAGTAAAGGTCAAACAAAATCTATTCGCAGCGCTATTCTGGCGCATCTTGTGGCGACAGAACACAAGATTGACGCTAACCAGGCTTTCAGGGTCATTTACCGCATACTTACCAATCTCAATTTCGCTTTAAGAGTTTGACTACTAAATATTGCTGAGGCTGTGGGGATTCATATTAATAAGCCTAATTTATGCGCCCAAAAGAAGTTTGTTCAGACATGATCATTACCTTGGCCATCCAGGTTTAAATAATCCAGAATTTTTGTGAAATTTTCCTAATTTTAATTGATATTCTATTCGCTGTTATATCTTTATTATTATTATAATTTTAGCATCTTTAATGAACTGCAATATAATTGACCATAGTTTACAAATCGACATTATTAAAAAAAACGCTAATATTGTTATTAACTACTAATTTAAAATATTCCGTGTATATAAACATATATATATATAATTGTAGAGCCTGGAAGAGGAATTTATCGAAAAGGATATTCTTTGCTCGATTATTTTGTGTTTCATAAATTTTAAGTAGAATTTATGATGGACATGTATATACTTTTGTTATCCTTGCTTGGTATTTCCTTCTTTTATAGTAGTAATAAAATGAAACGTTAATCCTGTTATTTCTCTCTCATCTCAATTAACAGTTGGTTTTTTTAAAGTGTGTGTCAATATTCAATGTGCTACTGAGTTTTATGTGTAACGTTTAAAATTCAGTCACTCTTTCACTCACTTACTCACTCACTCACTCACTCACTTACTCACTTACTCACCTACGCACTTATTCACTCATCATCGACTCACTAATTTATTCAAATCTTTTAGGTAATAAGTACTTAAACCTAGGCAAGTGTAGTC